GGCAATCTATGAAAACTTCAAACAAGAATTTCTATTCTTCACATAGAGGCATATTTGTTTTACAAAAATGAATGATTTTAATTGATAATTGATATTCCAAATAGCACCTAAGCAAATTTAGAAATATTTCCAAAATTAATATCTTTTATTTTTTACTCAATTTTTCATTATTGTATTCGTGTATGTATATCCACATGCATTCGCTTATAATAATATTTGTTTATTTAAAATATTTTATTAAATAGAAAATGATTCGAGAGAGAGAGAAAGAGAGAGAGACAAATATTATCAACATTGAAAATAATATGAATAATGTCTCTCTCTCTCTCTCTTTCCTGCAAACAAAAAAATATTTTCTATTTCATAATTTTTTTTGTAGAACTAATTCTATCGGTATGGCAGATTCCTGTCAACGTTATCAACAATTATTATTGACTTTTAATTCAATCGAATTAGATCATTTTTAGATTGTATTTAATTGTATAGTTATTGTTTCACTTATATTCACTGCATATTCCTTTGTCAATATTATTTGACGATTAAAAAAAAAATTTGACAGCAAATACCATCTATTATTTCTATAATTAATGGTTTCAGTCGAAGCATTGGTAACGTGAACGTTCGGAACTCCTTTGAAAGGCTCAACAAGGAGTCACATCCACGTTCTTCATTTTAACAGGTATATTTTAATATCTTTAATATTTTAACGTTTTATTCATTATTACATATAATTTAAAAAAACTAATATATTTTATATCATTTTATATCATATATTTTAATGATTTTTTAATAGTATTATATTTTTTACGAAATCAAATGAGGTTAGAATTTAATGACTAAAAGCTAACAGATTTTCTTTTCTATAGATATATTTGATTATTGATAATAATTTATTACTTTTGTAATATAAATAAAAAAAGTATTTACTCTTTCTCAGCAATTAATATTTTAGATTATAAACAGTGCATCTGTTTAATCTTGATTTGTTTTTTTAGTTTTTATTGCAACATGCTTAACATATTTTTGCAATCTTTAAAATTCCATTAGGCATAACAAATGTGTTCTCATTTGTATAACATAATTATCTTGACCTATTTTTTAAAATATCATCAATTTAATGATTAATATTATTAATATTTATTATAATGTTAGATACTTTTCTTAAATAAGTTATTAATTATTCTTTGTCCCCATATATAAAAAGAAAAATATTGAAGGATTTAATGATATAATTATAAATTCCAATACGTTAATATAGAAAATATCTGAAATATTTTTTTTTGGCAGTATACGGACAAATAAATCTTTGACATCATGCCGCCAAAAAAATCCATGGAAGAAACTGATCGGTTAACCCGTATAGCTATTGTAAATTCAGACAAGTGCAAACCCAAAAGATGTAGACAAGAATGCAAAAGATCTTGTCCTGTAGTAAGAATGGGGAAACTTTGTATAGAAGTAACTCCATACAGTAAGAAGGCATCTATTTCTGAAGAACTGTGTATCGGATGTGGTATTTGCGTAAAGGTAGAAATATACTCAATTTTGTTTTCTTCGAATGAAATATTTCTCATTTTAGTATCTTTAACAATTAGCTAAAATTAATTTAAATTTTTTATTTAGTCAGTTTTTATTTAATCATAGAGTTTAAATGAACGATTTATTTTTTCAGAAATGTCCATTCGAAGCCATTTCCATTATCAATCTTCCTAGTAATTTAGAAAAAGAAACGACGCATCGTTATTCCAAAAATTCATTTAAATTACATAGACTTCCTATACCACGTCCCGGTGAAGTGTTAGGTTTAGTCGGTACAAATGGTATTGGAAAATCCACGGCCCTTAAAATTTTGGCAGGGAAACAAAAACCAAATTTAGGTCGATTTTCTGTATGTATCTTAATCTTGTTATATGTAATAAGTTTATTTTATATTTCTTTTTTTTTTTTTTTACATAATTGCATTATGTTAATACGAAATAATATTTTAGGATCCACCCGACTGGACAGAAATATTAGGTCATTTCAGGGGGAGCGAGCTACAAAATTACTTTACCAAAATTCTTGAAGACGATCTGAAGGCTCTTATTAAACCTCAATATGTAGATCAAATTCCTAAAGCATTAAGAGGAACGGTTCAACAATTTTTAGATAAAAAAGATGAATGTAAAAATCAAATAGAAATTTGTCAAAAGCTGGGTATATGTTCTTTTATTTTTATTACATTCAAATAAAGTATAATAATTGTGCTTTTTTTCTAATGTATTGATATTTTTATTGTAGATTTAATGCACATACTTGATAGAGGTGTCGAGGCTCTTTCAGGAGGAGAACTTCAACGTTTTGCTTGTGCTATGGTGTGCATTCAAAATGGTGATATTTTTATGTTCGATGAACCGTCTTCGTATTTGGATGTTAAACAACGTCTCAATGCAGCTGCAGCTATCCGATCTCTAATTCATCCGGATAAGTAAGTGAATCATAAAATGCAGATCAGAAAAATATCCAATATATTTTCAACATGAAATTAATATGTTTTTTTTTATTTATAGATTTATAATCGTGGTAGAGCATGATTTATCTGTGTTAGATTATTTGTCCGATTTTATATGTTGCCTGTATGGCGTCCCTGGTGCTTATGGTGTTGTTACTATGCCTTTTTCCGTACGAGAAGGTATAAATATATTCCTGGATGGATTCGTTCCTACGGAAAATTTGAGATTCCGCGAGGAATCTTTAGTTTTTAAGGTCGCAGAAAGTGCAACCGAAGAGGAAGTTAAGCGTATGAATCATTATGAATATCCAGCGATGGTCAAAACCATGGATTCTTTTACATTGCATGTAGAAAAAGGACAATTCACGGATTCGGAGATTCTTGTACTGTTAGGAGAAAATGGAACTGGGAAGACAACATTTATAAGAATGTTAGCAGGAAATTTACCTCCTGACGATGGATCAGGTAATTTCAATGAAATAAATTTTATTCATTTATTTATTTATTTATTTATTTATATTTTAAACGTTTGTTTTTTTTAACAGCGATGATTAATTTTTCTTCTTATATTTCAGGAAGTATTCCACAATTGCATATAAGTTATAAACCACAAAAAATCAGTCCTAAGTCTCAAGGTATCGTGAGACAATTACTACACGAAAAGATTAGAGATGCTTACATTCATCCCCAATTTGTAACTGATGTGATGAAACCTTTGAAAATTGATGACATCATGGATCAAGAAGTGCAAAATTTATCTGGTGGAGAATTGCAACGTGTTGCCATGGCTCTTTGTCTTGGTAAACCAGCAGATGTTTATTTGGTCGACGAACCTTCAGCTTATTTAGATTCCGAACAACGTTTGGTAGCTGCTAAAGTTATTAAAAGGTATGTTTATTATTAAAATTTCATTTGTTTATAATGTAAGAGAAAATTGATTATTAAAGAATTTAGATAAAGCGATTTTAATTTCGATTTGATATATATTTTAGGTTTATATTACACGCAAAGAAAACAGGATTCGTAGTAGAACACGATTTTATTATGGCTACTTATTTAGCTGATCGTGTTATTGTATTTTCTGGTACACCTTCGTTGAAGACGACTGCACATAGTCCGCAGTCTTTATTGAATGGTATGAACAGATTCTTAGAATTATTGCGTATTACTTTCCGAAGGGATCCTAATAATTTCAGACCACGAATTAATAAGAATCAATCAGTTAAGGTATGAATAATATATTATTATTATTATATTTTTCATAAGAATATTATTAACAAAAATATTTTTAATTTGTTTTATTTATCTATTTATTTATTTATTTATCTATTTATTTATTTATTTATTTATTTATTTATATAGGATTTAGAACAGAAAAGGGCTGGACAATATTTCTTCTTGGAAGAATAAAAAGGAAACGTCGCGTTTATCTTGTATACGAATTGAATAGAAACATATGCAAGATAACATTAAGATATTTCGGTGAACTTTATACTTACACGCATTGGTAAAAGATATCTTAGATCGTCGTGATAATTCTTACAATAATAACAATTGCATTTTATGTGAAGAGATGGGACATTTTATTCTTCCCATTAAAAGAAATAATTTTCTTTTACGTCTTACCAAACTCTTTTCATTAATTTATATATATCACATAAAAACATCACATTGTGGCATTATTAATATCTGTATAAAAAAAAAAACATAGAAAAAGAAGGAGAAAAAGAAGAAAAAAGTAACTGGAAGAGAAAAAGAAGCCAGGAAAAATAATTTAACACTCGCAATACATAATATCTTTTTGTATAAAATAAAATTCATTACTAATATTTGCGCGCGCGTGTAGAATTAATTTATAATTAATAAAGTAAAAGACAAAATAAAGAAGAAGATGAGTATAAATAAAAGTATCATGATTTTTGTGTAATAATTGATATGCAATATACGATCCATTGTAAGAATATGATGAAATATATGGTATGTCATAAGAAGGAAGTTATTATGTTTAAATATTTTATCTTTATTATTATTTTTTTTTTCTTTATTACGTAAACAAAAACGCGATAGCATTTCCCTAACTTATGCTTATTTGTGTAATGTTGAATTAATAAACGTCATTTGTTATTTACTAATGAATTTAAAATACCAGCATTACAATAATGTAATATTTTACAAAAACAATAAACTTTTAACACAACAACTAAAATCTCTATGCAAATGTATAAGGTATCGGGTTCTTTTTTTTCTATCGTTTTTTGACAGGAAATATTTAACTTTGGATAGATAAGCTATAATTGTTTGGAAAATATATAAATAAATAAATACTATGCTTATCAATATATATGAATGTGTTTACTTTAAAGGAATTGTTATATATTTTTTTTTTCAATAGATTAAATACCCGGAAATATTTTAGATAAGTTTAAACGATTATTTGTAATAATAATTTACACATTTCTAATAATTATGCATAGCCATCGTTATAAAAACTAAACCGAGAAATATGCTAGCGACATTTGAAAAAAATCCTTCAACATGTCGAATGTGTTAAACACTTGTTTAATCCTTCCTTTCATTGTTTTATTAATCTCCTCCGAGATCCGATGTAAACGTAAGTTTTAACCATTTTACTTTGTACTTTTTGTAACTATAATGAAATTATAAAAATTCGTAATTGAAATTATTTCGGTTTGAAATAAGAAAATCATATTTTGATAGAATAACAAATGCATAAAGAGAGAAATGCAGTTAAAAAATTAAATCTATAATTAATATTATTTTTTATTATATAAAGAAAATTTACTTTACTTAAAAAACAAAAAAGTACTTTATCTATTATTATTTATACATTTAAAAAAAAAAAATCGTAATCTGCTTAAATTTTTCTCTAGTCATCGTTTTCCTAAAAAATTCGTGGTTCCACTTTGTTGACCAAAGTCAACAAGTCAATTTTTTGCTTCGTAAGCTCCACGAGCATATAAAATTTCAACAAATGTAAGTATTTCTTGTAATGATGTTTTCCGATCATTCTTTAAAATTCGGCGACCTTCTATTTATTATCTGCCATAATATTCCTTTTTGCGTAGCCTTTTTGGCCTTTTCACATCCTTGAAAATATATGTAGATGGTAATCTACCAGAAATACCATTTTCAAATTTTGACCTCTCGGTATCATCAGCAGCAGTTTCGATCTCCTGAAAGGTGTTTTCAATTTTTTCATCAGAGTATGAAATAATTCGTATTCTATATTATTTTCTGAGCATATTGATGATATTTTCATTTTCATCATGCAACTTATATTTCGTATCGATTGTGTCGATTAACGCAATACTTATCGTTGGAGAAAATAATGAAGCGAAAATGATCGCAGAAACAAAGGAATATATTTTAGAAAATATAAATGCTAAATTCTGTGTGTGTGATTTCTAAATAAAAAATTCAATAATAAAATTTATTTAATTAAATTAAATTATCCAAGTAGTCAAAATTATTGGTTTTGGATGATATAGGTATAGCATATAGATATATCAGAAACAAAGAGAGGGTGGAGAGGTAAATACAATATTGATAAATGCATTTATATCATGTATAAAAAGTCACATAAAAACTAAGAAATCGCGCGCGTATCATTATAAATAGAATTTTTTTCTAAACGGAATTAAGAAGCAATTAAAATGACTTCCTTGGGCAATCTAGTGTGTTAATATAAACATTTATTATATTCCATTAATGTTTTTTTTCTTTGTAATTTTTGATTTTAGAAACGAACCAGGGGACAGAGCCGCCTTTTAGAACTGCAAGGGCCACAAATGCTTTATCGACACAAGATGATTGTAGACGTCCCTGTACTACACAATGGCGTTATTGTTACTATCACTTCAAATTGGAATATTTTACAACCATGTCGAGGTATGAACTCAGCAAATATTTTTTTTTCTTTTTTCTTTTTTTAATAATTAAAAGACATTTCGATTCGAATTCAATGCGGTATAAATAGCGTCTTCTGATTGGTGAACAAAATAGATCAATCACGAAGCAGCGGAGTAAACATTTAAAATTTCCAAAATTAAAAAAGTGTGTAATATCGTGTTTGAAGTATTTATGAATATGTTTAATAATTTTGTGCAGTCCTTGCAACGTCTGTAGAACGGACAATAATGAAAGATGGAGAAATCAATCGGCTTGTGAGTGTATCCAGGGAGATGGCTTTGAAAAAACTATTTTTTCAATCAATCGTCAATTTCCTGGTCCAAATATACAGGTAAGTTATTAAAAATAAAAACTAATATTATTTGGAATAATATAAATATAGGTTCCTAATAGATTTGTTTTATTTATTCAAAAACGTTAACCAAAGTATCAAATACAAAAATGTGCTCAAATATCTTACAAAATGTTTATTCTTACAATTGTATTTATTTTATAGGTCTGTCAATACGATAAACTTATAATCGACGTAGAAAATGCAGCAGAAGGTACAGATACAACAATCCATTGGCACGGAGTTTTCCAAAAGAATTATCAATATTATGACGGTGTACCTCACGTAACTCAATGCCCAATTTCAGCACCTAATACATTTAGGTAATTTTTAGATTATTTCTTGTTTAAGTCATATATCATTGATAATTCATTATTGACTATAATTTATTCTAAAAAATTTGATTATTTTGTTAAGATACCAATTTAGTGTGGACAATGCTGGAACACATTTTTATCATTCTCACTCAGCGTTATATATGATGGATGGACAACAAGGACCTCTGATAGTACGTTCGCCGAAGAGTCAGGATCCTAATAGAAATTTATACGATGATGATTTATATGATCACGTAATTTTCTTAAGCGATTGGATGCACTCATTAGCAATAAAACATTTGCCTGGAACATTTGCTAATAATCCTGGTCAAACTCCTGATAATTTTCTTATTAATGGTCTGGGACGACAGTTCACGGTGGATATTATTTATTATCTTATATAATGTTTATTTTTGTTTTTATTCAACTATTATCATACAATAATATATTTGTTATTAAAAAAAAACATGTAGGGTCCAAATACAAATCAAAGCAATGATATACAAATTGCATACTTTTACGTAGTTAAAGGTAGAAGATACAGGTTCCGAATGATCAATTCATTCGGCACAGTATGTCCGGCAGAATTCTCTATCCAGGGTCACAAATTAACTGTAATTGCATCCGATGGTGAAGATTTACAGCCAGTGGTAGTGGATAAAATTATAAGCCTTACAGGTGAAAATAATTGCATTGAATTTCAATACGTATTTTCGTGTTTTTATAAAATAGTTTATATATCGTAAAGAGATATTTTCTTTTAAAAATTATATTCGATAGGTGAACGTTATGATTTTGTTTTGAACGCTAATCAAAATAGCGGTTCATATTGGATTCAACTGCGAGGTCTAGATGAATGTGGCCCCAAAAAAATTATCCAATTAGCTGTACTCGTTTATGGTAACAAAATGGCTCTACCCCAAACAGCTACACCTACTTATGATAATCCTGTAACCAGTAATACTGACATTGTAAGTATATATCTTTATTCGATAATATATTTATTTTATTATGATTTCAATTAGAAATTTTTATTTTTAGGAATTGAATTCGTTAACTGCCAGAGATTGTGATAGTCCAACATTGACAAATCGTATTTGTATAAATCAATTAAAGTACGCGAAAAACACACCCCAAGTCGAACGAAGATTATATCCTAATGTCCGTTTATACATGCCTTTCGATTTCTTTTTCTACAACAGCACAATATTTAGTCGAAACTCTCAAGATAGGTTTTTTAGTAAGTCAAATAATATATGTCAAACAATTTTTAAATCGAAAAACTAATGATTTAATGAAATATATATTACCTTTATTTTCAGTTGCCATCGATCGGTCTGTACTAACAAGTTTAGTTAGCAATATCAGTTATACTGAAGCAGAGTCACCACCAATATCGCAATATTCAGCTTACCAACAGCTTTGTGGTGTTGATCAAATTTCTACTTGTACGAGACCGTGCTTCTGCACGCATGTTGTCAATATTCCCTACAAATCATTAATTGAAATTTTGTTATGCGATGAAAGTAAGAACAATATCGTTACGTTAAATTATGCATAAGATTTTGATCATTTTCTTTTTATAGTCAGAGAGGCCTGTATCGATATACGTAGGATTATATTCATTCGTTATTCAACAAAATTTGTAAAAACATTTGAAAATATTTATATTACAGATGCGAGTGTAGATTTACATCATCCCTTCCATCTACACGGTTACAGTTACCAAGTGATGGCGATAAAAGGCTTTAATGATACTAAACCCACTCCGCAACAGCGAAGACAATTCCTTCAAGAATACGACGAAGGTCTTAGAAATGGTAGATATAATCAACAACCAAGAAAAGATACCATTAAAGTACCGGTTGGAGGTTGCGCGATTTTACGTTTCTATACGGATAATCCAGGTATGAAAATTATTATTATTAATTTTGTCTATTAATTCATAGAATTCAAAATTGGGATCTAATTAATTATTATTAATATTATTATTATAGGATGGTGGCTATTTCATTGTCATTTCTTATGGCATACGATATCAGGTATGGACGTAGTTATTCACGTAGGTGAGGAATCGGATATGCCACCGGTACCAAACGGTTTCCCGGTTTGTGGCAATTACAAACCGGACGTATATATTTAAATAAATAATCCAAGATTGCTATAAGAAAGCCAATTCATACCAGGCGATCCAATTTTTGATTATTCATAAGAAAATATGATTTTATTTTTATCGTTGTTACTTTGTTAATTGTTGTTTATATAAACAACTTGATATTACTTCTTATATAATTATATTGTTATTGTTATAATATATTTATTGTTAATTTGTGTGCATTTATACATACTTATTATATTGTTGTTTAATGACATCTTCTCTTTTGCTTATAGTCGACAAAAAAGAAAAAAAAAGAAAAACAATTTGGTCGATTACAAAAGATAAGATAAAATTAATTAGAGTTGTTCATCGGGATGATTAGTTTTGTTGTTTTATGAGGTATTTCTTTATTTAACAATCGGAATATTACAATATAAATTAAATATGATTGATAAAAGATACGCGTCTTTTTTTTTTTTTTTATGTCTTCTCCTTCTTCTTCGTTTGCTTTTCTTTCTCCTTTTTTTTTTTTTTTTCTTATCATTTTCTGTCGTCAAACTTTCGTGAGATATGAATGAAGAGTAACACGTCTCGTCGCTGCAAAACGTTTTACGAACGAATATATTTATGTTATTTTAAATACATCCTGTCGAATAGTTGTCAATAGAGCCGTATAAAGTAGTAGTAGTAGCAGTAATAGTAATAGTAGAGTAGTAATAGTAATAGTAGTTAATAGTCATAGTTAAAGGATTCGTCGAGACGTGACTCGTTCGTTGAAATTAATGATAAGCGCCGAAAAAAGTATAACCGATTAATTTGTTTTTTTCTCTTTTGTTTTTTCTTTTTCACACATTATATTAAAGTATATAATAATAATAATAACATAACGTATATATATATATATATATTCGTTTACATAATAATAATAGATAATAATATATAGTAATATATAATAATATCGTAACTGCATTTATATCAAATATCGTATTGAGTACGCTGGAACAATCTAAACATAATCAGCCTCTTTATATATATATGTATATATATATAAGGGGTAGCTATATAAAATGATTTGGATAAATAGCGCTTAATCCCTCTTTTATCTTTTCCTTCTTCTTCTTCTTCTATTTCATTTTCTTTTTATTTTATTCCTTTTTCTTGTTAACATCATCGGTTCCCTCATTCTTTTTTTACCTACCATTTTTTCCACCCACATGTCTGCTAATATACGAATCGCGTTATGATATTTTTTGTTATTATTTTTATTATTATATATCTCTATATATTTTAGTTCGCACGTAGGTCGAGTCTTTCCATTCGAGGATTATACGTCTCGTTGTTTGAGAATAATACACTTGCTTGATCAGCCATATTGTCGCAGCGCAGTGTCACCTACCTGCACACCATGGCCGCCATTTTGTTTTTCTTATTCGCGACGATATTTCTTTCATTCGCTTAAATTTTTCACGTGGTAGTCTTTTCTTATTATTCTTTTTTTTTTTTTTTTTTTTTTTTTTTTAATGTCTTTTGTTATATTTTCCAAAGAGAAGAAAAATTAAGACGAGTTTAAAAATGTATTCTTATTCGTAGGCGTTATTATACATAATAGTTCGAATTTTTCTTGACGTTCTATAAAAATCCATCGATCGTCTTATTTGCCTATTTTTCTTATATTTTTGTAGTTTTTCTTATCTTTTTTTTTTTTTAGTTTTTTATTCATTTTTTTTGTTCGTCTAGGCTATATCAAAAGGAGATTACATTATTATTATTATTATTATTATTATTATTATTATTATTATTATTATACATATTACAAACTATGAGTGTATTTCGTTTGTGGACTATTTCATTTTAAACTCGTCTCACTTTCCTTCTTTTTTCGTCTTATCTATGCGTACGCGCGTGTGTATGTGTGTGTATGTATATATATATATATATAGTATTTATACATGCATAAGTAGCACATGTACGTTAATAATTGCCATTCTCTAACAATAAGTCTTTTTTTATCGGCGAACATGGTGTCGTTAATCCAAACGAATGGCGTGCGATTCGAATGTGTCATCGTCACAAAACGCTTTTTACGGGTGTGTAAATAATCACAATTGGTTTAATCTGTAAATAATCTCTTACATTGTCTTAAACTTACATACGAATTTACTCTTACTATCACAACTCCTCTGCAATTAAAAAATTAAAAGAAAAAAATACATCTATAGGATAAAAATCTCTCCGTTCCATTATTTTTCTCCATTTAATAATCGCCTCTCGTAAAATAAAATAACGAATAAGATAAAATTGATAAAATTGATGAAAATGGATGTTATTAAAAAGGTAAAAAAAGAAAAAAAAAAAAATTAAGATTAAAAAATCATTTCTCTTTTCCTAATATTAAATATCTCGAGAAATTATATATATATATAACGATTAGAATAATTTTCTTTTTTTTTTCTTTTTATTAAAGGAAAGAAAATAAGAGAAAATAGAAAAATCAATTTTTTTTGTTTTTCTTTTCGTATGATCGACTATACGTAAAAAAAAAAAAAAGAAAGAGAAAAAAAAGAAGAAAATACCTCTCTCTCACATTTTTGGCACACACTTTCTCTACGCAAGAACAATTTCTTGCAAAGCGCGCTGTGTCGATAAATAATACGCTACGAATTTCTCTCTTTTATCGATTCACGATGGACCAAATGAACTTATTTCTTATTTCGTCCTATTTCTTTTCTTTTCTTTTCTTTTTGTTTTCCTTATTGATTTTAATTACAATCATTCTGATAATCATCCACATCGCCGTTATCATCATTATCATTTTTTATACTAATAGAGCACGAAGAATCATCACTACCGAATGAGCTACGTACGAATATCGGTATGGATACCATATATATATATATATATATGTATGTATATATATATATATATAGACCGTTTATAATAAATATAAATATATTGTCGATTATATCAGAAACCAGAGTATTTCCATCCCCGTAATTTCCGATTGAAATGTACGCGGCTGATGGTCCAGTTTATAAATTGATATATGTATTTTTAAGTGTCGAACGACCGTCCACATATACACTCCCCGAACGTGTATATCTTTTTTTTTTTTTTTATCTTTTTTGTTTTTCCTTTTTTTTTTCTTTCTTTCTTACCTTATAGCAATTCGAGATTTTTTAAACGAACATTTTATACTATATATCGCTTATTTTTGTTCATGTTCATCTCCTTCTACAGATTTTCTTCGCCAATTAGTAATACATCCATACAAAGTGTTACGTGATACCATTTCTTTCTCTCTCTCTCTCTCTTTCTTACTTATTTATTTACAAGACTAGAGTCTTATTTCAAAATCCTGACTGCCTGCTGCTCGATTGTAAATTATTTTTATATACTTTAATATATAATTATTTTTTTTATTAATATTAATATTAATTTAGTTTAAAGAATTCGGCTTATCTTTTTACATCGCGTATCGTTGTGTTGTGTAATTACTTTTTTTTGTTTTGTTTTCTGATTACAAAACTAGACAAGTTTTTAGGCAACGATAATATAATATTTGAAATAAATATTAGGGATTTAGTATCGGAGAAGAAAGAAATATAACAAAATTAAAAAACAAAGAAACAAAATGACGAACGAGCAGGCTGAACGAATTATGAGTATATACGATATAATAATTTTAATCTTAAAATTTACTTTTAAATCCTCCTTACAAGCTACGAGATTAGCGCCCACGAGAAATTCTACGATAATGACAATCATTTCGGTCAATTTTTTCATTTTCTTTTCTTTATTTGTGTGTGTGTGTTTTTTTTCTCTCTTTCTCTCTCTCTCTCTCTCTCTCTCTCTCTCTCTCTCTGTCTCTTTCTGTTCTATCATTTTACCCCCACACAATGATTGCTGTTTTAATTATTCGATCAAGCACCGTTTCGTAGAGCACCTTCGGTATAATGATCATTAAAAAAAAAAAAAGTTGTCTTAACAAATGCAATTCTATCTCTATTTCTATCTCTATTTTTCTTTCTCTCTTTTTCTCTATCTTCTTCCTTTCTTATCGTCAATTCCATCGAGATCTTTGTCGGTAATATACCGTCATGCCACAGGCATATTAACGATGTTCATTGTGTGTGTGTGTTTTTTTTTTCTTAATATATATTTTTTAAATTTTTATTCAAAGAGAAGAACAAATTTTGTGTGTACTCATGTGTAAATGTATGTATGCATGAATGTGTTTGTATGCGTATGCGTGTGTATATTTATTCGATCATTATTTTACTTCCCTTTCTCTCTTTCTCTCTCTCTTTGTTATCGAACATCTAGAGACGCTTAAATATTAAGTAAATTAAGTTTTTTTCTTTTCTTTCCCTAAATCAATCACCCTATTCGCGTCTTTATCACATTTATCATATTTTTATTCATGCTCGTATATGATTCTTAACGTGTCCCCTATACGTTTATCAATTTTTATTAAAATGTTATATTCATTTTTTTATTTCATTTTATTCGATTTGATTTTGTCATTTTTTTCTTTTTCCTTTGTCAGTTTGAAATAACCGGGAAAAAAAAAGATCGTAATTTTTTTGTCGATAAAGAAGCTTGCTTGTTTTAATGATGATAATAATAATGTTATTATAATACTAACAATAACAAATAATTTGTCGAGACACTATTTATTCGAATTTTTTCGTCGAAGAAAGAAACGTAATTCTTGCTATTATTCTTTGGTTAAGTTTTACGTGTTTCTTCTCTCTTTGTCTATCTCTTTCTCTCCCTTATTTTGTTTCTATTTCTTTCTCTCTTTTGTTCTCATTTTTGTTCTATGTGTTCTAGAAGATTGGGTAGTTCTGTTTTTATTTCTTTTCTCTTTTTCTCTTTTTCTCTTTCTCTCTCTCTCTCTCTCTCTCCCTATTTTTCTCTTTTCCCATCTAAGGTAGGTTTAAAATTCTCGTATGACTGATTGTCGTACTTATATGAAATTTTTACTGTGGAATGTCAAACACGCAAGAAATCATTTTGCATTTTTCTTCTTCTCTTTCCTTTCTTCCTTTCTTTTTAATCTTATTTTTTCATTCCTCGACAATTGTCAGTCACATTTCTTTCTTTTCCATTCTTTCGGGGAACTATTTCGAAGTAAAAAATGGAGGAGATGCTTTTTATAACAAGTTCTAAATATTTCGTAATAAATTCGGGATGTTTAATGTATATATATATATATGTATATATATAAAAAAAAAAAAAATCAATCAATCGCGCGTATTAAAAAATCTTCTAAAACCGTGTAAATCGTGTCCGTGTCTCTTGGTATCTTTTTTTTTTGGTTAATTGCAAAGAAAAAAATTCCACAGGGGAACTCCTGAAAAGTTTCTAGGCGCGACAAGAACAAACGTTTCTAGGGGAATTTTAAAAACCAATCATTATTTCTTTTTCTCGAGACTATTTAGGATTCGTTATTAGGCTTGTTAGTTTTGAAATATGAAAAAAATGATCTTAAATAGTCTCGAGAAAGAATAGCAATTGATTTTTAAAATTATCTACGACATTTTATATTTATTTTTATCCATCTAGGAACTTTTCGAAGTCTTTCCTGTACATTAATATATTATAAGCTATCAAATAAGTAACTTTTTGTGAAGGCTTTGTTTGTTTAATTCTACTTTTCGTAACCTAAAAAATGATTAGAACACTAACCCGAATTTATCATATGTATGTTTTGGATAAACACCCTGTGTACGTATATTTATAATATATTTATAATTATCTATACATTAAACTCATGTCGAATAGAGAGTATATAAATCAGCAAAATTCGGGTTTCACATAGGCTAAAATTTGCGATAGGCGGATTGTCAAGGAATATATTTCGTAGTTTTATTTTTTCTTCTTATTTTTTAATACCAACTCTATATCGTATCGTGTCTCTCTTTCACTCGTTTTCCCTTTTCTTTCTTTTCTATAATTATTTTGTGTATCTTAAATATTTGTATTAATTTTGTCTCATTTTAATCACATTTATACGATCAATTAATATTTCCTATCAGAGAGAAAAATCTAATGATATTAATTAATTACATTAAAACACCATCAATAATTGTTTTTCCTCTATGAATTTGCGATAAATCCACCTCTCTCTCTCTCTCTCTCTCTCTCAATCCAATATTAAAATATAAATATAATTTAACATTTTTTTTTTAAATGCCATGCATTGAGCACCATCGTTTCGAAATATTCGACATGATCGTTGAACCCCCGTCGATAAGAACAACAAAGGAAAATGGCTCCCAGTGATTATCAAACTACTGTTTTTTTTTTCTTTTTTTACCAAAAATTTGTCCGTCCTGCATCGCGAACGCCATTGTTTGAAAATAATCGACATGATTATCAACCAATAGAAATCGATTTGACTGATGTGAAATACAAAATAAAATAATAATGGCGAACGCGTTTAAAGTATTCATCTCACAAAACAAGAAGAAAAAGAAACCAAAATATAAAGGATAATTCTCTACCATTGATCGATTCAATCATCCCATTCGTATTGGTGTCTATCTTCTTCCTCCATATTGTTATTTTAAAATCCCTATAATATTAGGAATAAACGTTTGTATCGTCCGGAACTTTGCTCGCCTCTGTCTACGTCATGGCAGAGATCCAGGAACGAGACAACGGAGCCGTCGAAATAAAACACGGTTGAGAGCACGATGGCTTCGTTCTCTCTATCTTTGTCTCTCTTTCATTGAATTGATCTATTTTTTTTTCTCTTCCTTTCACTCTCTCTCTCTCTTTCTCTCTCTCCCTCTATTTATCTATCTTAGTTTTCACATATTTTCATCTTCAATCTTGTTTCTCTCTATTTTTTTCGAAACTTTTGTAGTTCAGCATTAGAGCTCGGAATGATCTCTTTCTCTCTCTCTCTCTCTCTCTCTCTCTCTCTTTCTCTTTCTCTTCTTCTCTTAATCTTTATCTCTCTCTTTATTTCTTTTTTTTTTTTTTTTTAAATAGGGAACACGAGCGTATATAGCTACGACGGGTTTCTCGATAATGTTCTAACGTAGGAGGACGAGTGGTACGTAGGAGTTAAAAGAAAAAAGTCCGGAGAAGAGAAAGAGAGACAGAAGGAGAAAGAGAGAGAGAGAGAGAGAGAAAGGAAGAGGGAGATAAGTTCGGGTTCGTTATTCTCTCTTCTCTCTTTGTGACTCGTCTTTCATCTCCCCCCTCCACCACTACCTCCTACTCCTACTCCTCCTCCTCCTCCTCCTCCTCCTCCTTTTTTTAAAACCCTTTCCCCTGTAAGTATCTTAAATCGGTAGGGGATCGTCGTCGCAGCGATGCACAAAGCCATGTTGTTGGGGTCATCCACTTGTGTGTTCCGGAAGTAGTATGCTCACCGATTTACGATTGGTAGTTGCTGTTCCTGTTGCCGTTGTTGTTGTCGTCGTTGACGATGACGACGACGTCGAAGTAGTCATTGTTGTCGTAGTCGTCGTCGCTGTCGTTAAAGTCGTCATCATATTTGGTGCGACAATGTTGTTTGTCGTTGTCATTGACTGAACAACAGCAAGCCCGGACGGAGGTCGATGGGCTGGTGCGACCACACGCACTTCCGGTCTCGGTGAGGCCTCTCTCAATGGACTACCAACGCCAACAAGTTCCTCGTTATTAGCCAGCATCGATGGCCTGTACAAATGTTTTAGCAATATAAATGTCTAAAGGTTAATATGACGGTTAACAAAGGTCAGCAATGATTCGTTATCGATAAATTTTAATGAATTCGTTGAAAAGGTTAAAAATCATTAATGTTGGTAGAAAGTTTGTCAATTGAATAGCGGTATAAGGTTAATATTATTTTTATGTATGGTTCAGTGATCTAATTGAAAATTGATCCAATTGAAAATTATTTATACGCGTATATATGTGTGTGTGTGTGTGTGTGTATTCTGATATTATTTTAGTTTAATTATACAGAAATTCTAAGCCTAATATTTCTAAATTATATTTATTCAACGAATTTTATATACGTAATATCATAATAGTTGTGATTTTTATTCTGTTAATAATAGTCCTATTTTAAATTTATAAATTATAGAAGATTAAAAATAATATCAATCATATTACTCTAGCTATTATATATTATATTAAAAGTAATAATAATAATAATAATAATAATAATAATAAAAATAACAAAATACTTGATAAAAATAAAGTTCATATTTTTTCTTTTTTTCTACAAATTTTCAAACTACATTTTTTGTATATTTTGGATCATTAAAAGTTTTGTTGCTTTCAGTATAACTTTGTTTATTTGACACACATACACACACACACACAAATATATATTATAGTAATAAATTTACAAATATTCGAAAGTATTATTATATTATCTACAATAGAAAGAGATTAAATGAAAATGTTATTTTTGTCGAGCAAAATAACATACGTTATTACTACATTTATACGACGTCAAAACCCATTACAACTGGGGATAGAATAAATAATAAAAATATCAAACTATTCTTGCCTACCTGTGTTGCGGGGGTGGCGTAGGTGTTCGCGATAACGGAAAACTTGCGACTTCTCTTGTCACTGAAAGCGACCGAATCGATCCGAATGTTTGGTCCGGCGACAAATTGGCCCCAACACTTTGCACCATGCCACTGCTGGAACACGGGACTTGGATTAACCACCCATGATCGTTCTGCTATCAATTTATAATTTCTATTTTTAAAATACGAGATAGGTCAACAATTACCTAGTGATTTTTACAATTTCTTTTTCTTCTTCTTATGTTCCAAACTTTGTTCTATTTATTGATTCATTCAAAGTAGTAGAGAGCTTAATAAAAAAAAAAAAGGTTCATATAAAAAGAAAAGTAATTACAAAAACCACTTAAAAATCTTTCTACCCAATCCAATCAATTTCTTTGTAAATCAAATATCGAAAATATTTCGGTTATGTTTGGATATAAAATAAAGAACGGTTAGAGGAAAATGGCGCATATGTTCGATATTTTCTAGGATGTAATATCTTTGTTTTCTCAACGTAGGGAGGATACACTGTTATAGATCAGGGATTCTCAAACTTTCCTAATTTTCTATCACATAAATAAAAATCCAAAAATATATGTGTAGTATTTCATAAAAGCACTTTTCTGATTTAAAATCGATACATCCCAAATGGAGTGTTTATATTCTCTCGAAGAATATACAAAATATTTTAAATATATATTTTATTTGATTATTAAGCGTAGCAATTAATTCGGTATCTTTTAAGCAAATTTAGTATTTATTTATAAAATAATCATACATTTGTTATCCTTCGAAATCATTTTCAATATTTTGGATTATTTTGGTGTATCTTTTTCTAGTAACTGCCGAATTCTTTGACGGTAAAAAGATAGTGATTTTAATGCAATTCAATATCAAGATACTGAATTAATATTGTTACATGTAATATCCAAATATTTTCTATAAAAATTACACCATCAAAAATAACGTAATGTACCATTAATGATACATATATCATAGTTTGAGAAAAACGATGTTATATTTCGATAGAATATATTAAAGGAAAATAATACAATCGAAAATCGATAATGGATATATATATATATAAGAACGTTATTGTTAGGAATAGGTAACTACAAAATTAGGATGTTTTTATTGTCATCCCTCAGTAGAAAAGGAAGAAAAGAAATAAAAATAGGATGTGTTGGTACGTTGGATTGATAGAAGAGAGCCAATTCTACGACAATAATACCAGTTTTCTGATCGTTTCTTAGCTGGATATAGAATCTTATCAATTATGCATTCACTTGGGGTTGATATTTTTAGAACAGTTGGTTCTCCTAAGAACTAATATCGTTTCAGTATTAAACAGCGGAAAATCATTGATACCACTTTCGTCTGTTTATTCATTTGTTTAAAACAACAACAAAAAAAACATACTTTTAGCTTTATCTAAAATGTCATTTTAAATTAATAACAATTGTTTTTTTTTTTGAAAATAAGTAATTAATAATTAATATTTTAAATTAAATTTTTTGAGTAAATATATCGTGAATGTCATAATATGATGAAGAGCAAACTTTCTGTCTTTTTATAGAGGATAAGTTATTATAAATGAATTTCTAAAAAATGAGTAGTTGGGTCGATTAATGGAAATGATTGATTTACCTGACTGAACCGGAAGTTACGAGGAATGGCATCGGCGTCGGACATGGACTTAATGGCGAACTGCTCACCGAACTTCTTGTACTGCTTAACACAGAATGTGGACATTGTGGTGGACCAACGTGGGTACCATTTGCACCAGTTTTACTCATCGTACGACTTTTCAAACAGGGTATCCTTGGCCATCCGCTGGCACTCTTTCCTGAAATTCCTACAATTACACAACAAATAACAAAATATAAGTATAACAATCAAAAGTAAAAAAAGAAGTTGTGCAATGAATGTTCGAGTTTGTCCAAGCGATTCGATCAACAATTGAACATAATAATCCTTTTGAATTTGATTGATCTTGAAGAATTAAATTCCCTTGTTTGACTTAAAAATAAATTTAACAAGATCCAATGCAATGAAATCCATGCTATTTTTAAAAAACAACACACCAAACATCATCATCGAGCATAAATTTAACATTCAAAGTATCTGAAACTTTTTGTTTAGATAAATTAGCAAAGAAGCTAAATATATTTATTAAATATTGGTATTAATAATTTATAATACAATTTATTTGAAATATCGTAATATATGAAATATGTATTTTTAAATGTGCGTTGGAAGTAACTCATCAAATTCGATTAATTCGGTTGAAATTTGTAATTTTTATTGAAGACGTTAACGGAAGCTTCAGCATCTTTCAAAGATAGTCTCGAAGGGAATCCTCAGCAAGAAGATATTTAAAAGTGAAACGGATAGACAATGGCTGAGTCCAATCTTGAGGAAAGAAACTTGAACAATAGCCTTGCTAAAAGAATGGTAAGGGAAGAAAAGAAAAAAAAGGAAGGACCAGGTCTCTGGTCTCCATTGGGAAATGATTTCAAGAAAGGATTTCAAGATTTCAAGATCTCCAAATGAAGATTTTTCTCCTTTTCTTGTTTCTTTCTTTCTTTCTCCCTTCTTTTCTTTTTTTCATCTTTTTTCTATCTCGAGATTTCTGAGTCTCCCATCAAAGGCAGATTAAATTTCACGATAGTCTTTGACTTATCAATCATCTATCTGACTCATAGGATGATTTAATCCAGTGATGAATCATTTTTTTTTGGCCACTGAATTAAAATTATATATAAAAAGACAAAAAATAATATTTTACGTACTAGGTCGCTGATCAAATATTTTTTTTACTAAGTTAGTAATTCAAACAATATACAAATAAAAATTCTATATTTAACGTTTCATTCTCGCGATTCATAGTAGTAACAATAATATTAAAAACGCGTAATCAAAATATGAAATGATATAACTTTTATTTATAATATACAAAACTTTTTGATTAAACTATTTGGTAATTTATAGATCGGATTAAAAAAAAAAAAAAAAGAAAAAGTTCTCTCGTTGAACACAGATTCTTCGTCTTTGATTTATTCAAATTTTCGTTGAGACGATCATCTCGTTTGAAAAAATAATCTCCAACAAACTTTTCCTTTCTTTATCATAACAAGAGTGGAAATTAACTGAGAAACGAAAAGACGATTTAAGCCTTGACGAAAAGACGTCTTAATGACGTTAGTTGAAGCTCCGCATCGTCTTCGAAGAGAAGAGAAAGGGTGTAAAGGGAATTGGAGAGTGGACGAGTTGAAGGGATGGGGAATGAGGGATGGGAGGGAATGAGGGATAGAAGAGAGGGGTTGTGGATCGAGGGCAACAGATGTCATGGACCTCAAAGGGTGGTTGGGTCGACCCAGTTCGTTTCTGAGTGCAAGTGCTCTGACGTTCACGAATCCTTTCGTCCTTCTCGTTATAGTTACGAGCTAAGGGATGTTACAATTCAAATGATCTTTTTTTAACACTTATGTCATTCTTAGATGTTTAACTAGTTTTCTTTTTAATTTTTTTTTTATTTAAAAATAAACCCATTTGAGGAGACCCCCACATAACTCTACAAGTTTGACAGTTCTGGGTTTATAGAAAATATATAAGATTTATTTTATGTATGCAGGAAATAAGATGGGTTAGAATTTTGTGAGTAGTCATTTGCAAATACAATTATCGAAATTATCTTTTTTTTTCTATAACTTGAACTATAATCTGATCTTCTTCAAAGATATCAATTAGCGTCTTCTTAATTTATTAAGAGTACTTCATGTTAAAAGATTCTCGAGACTTTTAAGGTGACTTATTTTGGTTTTTTTTTTTTTCAGATTGTAATACAAGACTAACTGCAAGCCAAAACAATTATGTACCCGAATAATTGACTTTCAAAATTACCTTAGAACACTTTATAGATTACGATGCATTTATTGATTTTAATACTTTGAGAAAAGAAAAGGATGCTAAATTAACCAATTAGAATAACGTGTAATTTATTATATAATTTTCTGTATATCATCTGGGAACATATTATATGTACTATTTATATCGAATAAAATGATACGATAAATTATGAGAAACATTTCAATAGGCACGCGTGTACGTGTGTTTTGTTCTGATGATGACCAACCAGTTAGCTGAGTGATTGAGTATTTTAATGAAATGCATTGTTCCACGTGTATGCGTATATAGGTACGCGTAGGTATAAATGTGTAGGTTATGATGAAAAGACACTTATCATGATTACGTAAGAATCGACGATAAGTAGAACGTTTATTTCGTATTCGCACCCTCAATGAGAATAATTTGTCTTTATCGTTGTAGCGCATCATTGCCACGAATTTCTGCACACGTTTCAAACCTTCGGATGTTTCGATAGAAAAAAAAACCAATAATATCCTAAATGATTGACAATTGAAAAACAAATGATTTTTCTCTACATTCGTATCATATATTCGATTATTTTATATTTCTGAATAAGAAGATCGATAAAACGTTTCTTGGAATCATTTAAATTCGAATGGGTGACCAAACAAAATGGAGGCGGCGTAACGGTTTTTAACAAATCGACCGGTTAAAAAAGAAAATGGAGACGAAATTAAATATAACCTGTACGAACGAATGAACAAAAGAAAAGCAAGAAAAAAATAAAAAATGACAGATCTTATCGTTTTTATCAAGTTTGTATCAGCAAACGACACATTTTCCCGTTCAGCAATATTGTTCTTTCTCGCAATTCTTTTTATTTTCTTCTATTTTTTTTTTCTTTTTTTTTTATTTCACAATTACACATAAACATTTTACCTTACGTATTTACTCTATATATCGTATCGCAACTTTTATCGTATCCTTTGGGCTTTAATAGCGAACGCCGGAAATACAATTCCGAGATAAGAAGAGGCAGGTGGGAGGTGGAAAGTGGATGGCGAGGGAGGAGGGGGGGGATGGGAGGAAACGAAACGGTGAGAAGACTTGCAGCTGGAGAAAGAAAAGTAAAAGAAAAAGAAACAAAAAGCAAGATGTCGTCTGCTTTATTTCAAAGCGACGACAAACTTGTCCTTGAGAGCTCTCTCCCTTATTGTACAGTTGAAATACTGCGTATACGTAGTTGCGACTGTCTCTTCAACGATCACACAGTAAAACGTCACTTGCATGTAGAAAATTGTTGAGAAAGAAAGAAAAAATATACTAAGCTCGAGGGAAGAGGTGATGAGAAGAGATGAGGGGAAGGAAGGAAGGGTTAAAGGGGGGGAGGGAAAGTGGAGCCTACAAAAGGTATGGAAAACGATCCAATCCGGGAAGGCCGAATTTAAAAGACGAAACCAACACCATTAGTCTTTCTTCCTCAACCCTTTTGTTCTCCCTTGCTTGCTTATTTTCCTTTTTATCTCTTCTTACTTTTTTTGGAACAAAAAAATAACGGAGACTTTCGAATCCTTTTATACGTAAGAACAATAACTGGAATAATCTTTCTTATTATGTACTGCAGAGACATATATATATATATATATATATATATATATATATATATGTCATCATGAAAGAGATTCTTTTTCTTTTCTAAATTTTGTCTGTTACGAAAGTTAAACAAAATATAATAATAATAATTCATGTATATCGTATTTTTGTTTATCGATCGAGTTTTGGTTACTCCAATATATATGCCATTTTTAATCGTCCATAAGACAGATTATTGCGAAACAAAAAAAGGATGTGTGTGTGAAATTACAAGTAACTCGTAATATTTTGTTGTTGGTTGATTGTATTCCGAACAACTTTCGCAAGAAATAAGATTAAGAGGGAAAAAGTGGATCTTCTTTATCATGGTTTTATTTCAACAAACAAGGTAAGAAACGAGAGAAAGAGAAAAAGAAAGATGGAAGCGTTGCGATGCGGACTCGGGGAATAATTTGATAGACTCGTATTAGCCTGAATACCGACAATTCAGTTAGCTACCCTCGGATAGAAGCAACCAAGCCTCGTCCTGAATTCGGAGCAATTGGCACAAACTAGAGCGTTACCAGCAAGCCGATATAGTACACATGTATATGGCGGCCATGCCAATAAGTGGCTTCTCGTCTATTTCTTTTATTCCTAATTTCCGTATTCCTATAATTCGCCTAATTAACGAACAACAAAAAAACAACAAAATTTATATAAATTATCTTATCCGTAATAAAAGAAAAGAATTATATCGAATATAAGAAAACAATTGTTATAATAATTAGCTGTTCAATTTTAAATGTATATATGTGTGTGTGTATGTATATTACATTTTTTGTTTATAAATTAATTTGAAAAATCAATTAGATATTCGAAGTGAAATAAATAATAAAAGAGATAAAGAAAGAGAGAAAATGATTACAATACAAATCGTATGGTCGTGAGAAAAAAATGATTAGAGAATGTACGACTGTTCTGTTATCTTCTTTCTCTCTTTATCTGTGTGTCGGAACGATGAGAGAAACGATGGGAAAGTAGGTCAAAATAGTCGTTCGTTTCTGCCTTAACTGCGTATTAAAAGGGAACTTATACATTATAAAACGAACTGAGAACGCTGACCTGTTGCGTGAGAGTACAGACAACGATAAACACACACACACATATATAAATGCGTATATATATCAGAGGTTAATACCAATGCGGAAAAGATAAATTTAGAAGACAAGGTGGGTGGATTGGTGGGTTTTCAACGTTTACAACGATAACAATCATTCAAATTAATGGCCGACTTTTGTATAAGCTTGCAATTAATGTTTACCTTTGACCTAATCAAACTAAACAGCAAAAAGAAATAGTGAAATCGAAAAAAAGGAAGAAATAAATTTGTCAATCTTTCTAATTCAGTTCGGGAATGTTTTTGCTAACGTAATTCAATCGCATTGGACACTTGTTAATGACAACAAAATACGATATAGCGATTTCTTTTTTTTATCTTCAAATTATTAATAAATAATAATATAAAAAAAAAGAATTATATTGTTGCAGGTTACTTACCAAGCATCTTAACACTCTGAACAGGACTGAGAGGGTAGAAATCCCCATGTAAAGGACAGTGGAAGCCCACTCTGCGTTCTCTTTTTCTCGCACGTCTCGTCAACATGCAAAGTAGTACACCTAGAGCAAGCATAAGTGCACCAACGATGATGCATATCGGCCCAAGGATACGAGAGTTTCCGGTGAAGGCTATGCGAGCAGCATACGAGTCCTTATCCTCGTCTTCACCTGGGCCACGATACGAGGCGGCTAGAAACAACAAAATAATCCAAATTAGAATTAAATTATATTTCATTTAAATTAATAATCTTAAACACGATAATCTTAGGATTCGGAATAAACCAATAGTTTCTAGATTATTTTCAAAATCAGTTATTTCCTTTCGAAACTTTTTAAGACTATTTCTTTAATTTCATATTGCGCAAAATAACAAGCCTAAAGAATTTTGTTTTCAATCTGATAAAGATCGGTTCAGTTTCGGTGTTAATTTATCCAATTGATCATTCATTTAAATTATTGTTTTTTTTTTCCAATGAATTATTTATTTGTACAATTTATATATCAATTAAATAAACACGCACAACGTGGATAAGATCTATAAAAGACGATCTAAAAGAAATCATGCGAATTTCACTTTCACACTGACAATGAGTGAAGATATTCAAGAGAAAATATGTGGTAGCTGTAATGATAGGACCGGTCTCGAGCATTCGAAGAAAAGAGAGAGAGAGAGAGTATTAGAAAAAAACAGAGAGAACTGGAAAAAGAAAGAAAGAAAGAAAGAATAATATTATGGAAGGAAGAGAAGAAGCCGGTTTTGATAAATCGACCAGCAAGAAACAACGGAACGAAATGAGGGCCATATCCCGGAGCACCAAACGACGACGACGACAAAGACAACGATGTAAAACGACCAGCTGTTGCCTCAGAGTGAAAGTGCGAGAGAGAAAGAACACAGAGCCCTTTTCCTCCTATCTATCATACCACCAAAGTTGAAGCAACTCTGTTACTAGGGTCAATGTACTCATCCCAGTCGGGTATCTTCTCCCATGGCCGCCATTTTTGTTCATGTTTTACGAAACTTGCGACGCCATTTTTATTCATGTTCTACGAAACGTGGGACGCCATTTTTATTTTTCTTACGCTTAAATTACTTCTTCGAATTTTAAAAGAAATAATATTATTAAGAACTAAATATATAAGAGGAATAAATAAAAAAACATACTCGATATACTTTTATTTGATATTAGATGATATTTCAATTATAGAGATATAATGTCAATTGTGAAACATGTGTCGACTACACGTGATTGAATCCAAACTGACAAACTCGAGCAGAAAGCGGATCAATGCTGTAATTTACGTACGTATACATACATCCTATCAGTGATATATGTGTATTACGCATTACCATTGGATAGGAAGCCCCCTTATGACTTGCTATACAGTCTCCTGTACAAACGGATTATTCGTTTCTACTATGAAGCCATATACCTTTTTTCCTCTCTCTCTCTCTCTCTCTCTCTCTCTAAAGTTGCATCCAATATATATAATGTATCTATAACGAAAGCTTATCTATAGTAGCTATTATATATACATAATGTCTGTATATACATATTGGAATTCAGTCGACTTGATAGGTTCTCTGATCTGGATTAAACTCAATTTACATTCTTACAGGATCGGTCGAAAGTTCTGAAGTCATTTTATTCTTTTTTCTAAGCTGTTAAATTAATTCTTTATTCAGATTATAAAAGTTCAAGTTTAATCAATGAAATTGTAAGCCTTACTTTAATCACAAAAAAAAAAGGATTATTAATTCTGAAAATCGTTAAGAAATGTTTCGTCTAAACTGTACCAAATAATCAATATTATTGACTTGTTTATTTCTATTTACTAATTAAGAAGACAAGGTAAAAGTTAAAAGAAAATTAATGAAAAATGTCTAATACAGATAATATCGAATTCCGAATCGGTCGGTAATACATTATCGATCGATAATGTCCAGAAAGCGGTCCTTCGATATCCGCCCATGTTTGTGACAGTCAATGACAACCCAACAAAAGCTATTGGGTTGGCAACTAAATGATTGCAGATTTTTTGGTTGCCAATTAAGAGAGCATGGTTACTTTAATAAAAACCTACAGGTCCCCGAGGGTCCTCTCTTTCTCTCTCTTTTTTTTTTATCTATCTATCTATATATATCTCTATCTCTTTGTATAAATAAGTACTTACGTATAAATATATATTTATAAAGAAATTATAAAGAATAAGAAATTATTAAAATAAATTAAAAATTATAAAGAATCGTTGCCCCCCCCCCCTATAAATATATAGGTTTTTGTTAAAGTAACCGCACTTGCTTAATTGTTAACCAAAAAATCCGCAATCACTTAGTTTCCAACCCAATAGATATGTTCTTATCTATCTTCAAAAATATACGTCAAATATACGTCACGCCCCATTTCACTGATTCGTGGCACCCGTCTCGTTCGTTCGTTCATCCCAAATATCCAACCCATTGAAAAAAATGTCTTTTTCATTTCCTTCCAATTTCTATTTCCAACGTTCGAGAAACGACGTTTTGAGATCGCACAATTTAACAGTTGTGAATGCATATTGCAGTCGCTTCAACTTGTAGAATATTAAATAGGACGTGTTACCTCGAAAATGCTGATAAGAGATTTAAGATTATAAGATTGTTGCGATTACATTGTTGGATTAATTGTAAGATTTCTCAATACTTGTGGGTGGTGGTGTAATTAATTTTTAATAAATATAAAAGATAAATTAAAATTTATCGTCAGGCGGGATCAGCTTAAAGTTCGTAAATTATTTATTAAATTAATGAACAGTTTTCAAGATATTTAAGATTTACAGATATTTGATTTTACGAAATGTTTTTAACTTGTATAAAATTTTAATTAGAAAAAAAGGACGAAAAATAAAAGAAAAAAAGGATATATGGATAATGAGGATAAATAAAAGTAAATATAATAAAATACGAACCAGTAAGCACAGCGCCGACGAGCATGAAAAGAAATCCAAATGCCGGAAGAGCAATCTGGCAGTTCGCCGCTATTACAACTCCAGCCACCATTAGACCACCCTCGATTTTTTCCACTCTCAAACGTGAAATTGGGGTTGGACACTTCAATTTCGAACCAAAGCCACCACTTAGCATTCCATCCTCAGCCGCCATGGCACTGGGTCTAAAATCACACGAAAATACACTTTAATTATAATAATTTTCGAAACCTAACAACAACCTATACCAACTCTTACATCAAATTTGTTTTAATGAAAAATACTATCTTTATGTAAGATCACAATCAAAATGATTACTGTATTGAATATAAAAATTATAGTACGTATAAATAATATATATATATATATATACATATACAACAAATGCCATAAGTTTTTTGATGCTATTAAAAATCAATTACTCTTTAAAAAAATATTTTTTAAGCTTATATTTTTTTCAAATCGTAAAAGTATAAGTATAGGAAAACTTTACTTCGATTTTAATATTAAAATTGTTTTATATAATGATATATAATAGATTTAAAAAAATGTAAAAAATAAAAGAAATTAATTCACTATTTACGCAAACAAAAAATTAATAAAATGAGAAAAAAAAAGTCGGGCTCAGCCGGGATTTGAACCCGGGACCTCTCGCACCCAAAGCGAGAATCATACCCCTAGACCACTGAGCCGAGACGATCACTTATACGTGTATATGCAACTTCAAGCAGAATTGCAACGACTGACTATAAAGAAATAGTCGGTAATTATAGACTACGAAAAGGCGAACATCACTTCTTCCTTAAAGTAACTAGAATCTATTATGGTAATTATTTAAATATTGACAACTCAATAATGGATAGTCTGCAATGTCTGGATGAAGCTGAAAACATCCTCAAATGTCAGAACGGTTTCGTCACGCCTCAATTATTCACCTTCCGTGACAAAATCAAAGCTCTCCAAATGTTTTTTTTTCTATACCTTTGTTTTGTTAAATCTCTAATATAACAAATAGTCCTTATGCAACAAATTTTCAAAAACTTTATATTGTAGACGTAATTAAATTACTCAATATTATAATATAACGCAAGAATGATAATGAGATCTATCTCCGACAGTATGTTATTCCAATAATTATTAAATACTATGTTAAGTCTTTTATAATAAAGTTTATACTTATATATATGTAAAGAGATTGGAAAAAGAAAAAGAAAATTATATTTTAAAAAGAGAAGATTTACAAAAATAAGAAAAATATCACTGAGCCGGTTAGAAAAAAGATCGAACAGTGAACATCATGTCATCACATCGAGCGAGCAAATCTGCTGACGAAAGTGAAAGATTATTCCGCTTGATCCTCTTCTACTACAATGCTGTTTCCTACAAGTTGATATAGTCAGTCAGCAGTCGGAGAAAGGAAAAAAAAAAAAACGAGCTGGGCTCAGCCGGGATTTGAACCCGGGACCTCTCGCACCCAAAGCGAGAATCATACCCCTAGACCACTGAGCCAACTGCTGCTGTTGTAAAGAGTTACAAAGAACGTCTTCCTTATCTTCGACATTTTTACCAGACTTGAACTTTGTACTTATATATAAAATATAATGCAACATATATATCGTAATCATACTTTATCGTTCAATGTTCTTGGAAAATGATAACGATTTTTATTTTTCTTTTTTTTCTCTCTCTCTTTATCAATTTTCTACGTTTAAACTTTAACACGTGCTTTCTAGTCTCTCGATAGATTCAAAGTTTTTACGTGATTTTAATAATCAATTATTATTCTTTCTTGTGACTTTTTAAAATTATGATTGAGATTATTTTACTCGTAGAAAAGGTTTGTAATTTAACAATCTCAACTAAAGTTAACTTATTTGTTAGAAAAAGTCTCGAAAAAAGAATTTCTTTAAATTAGAAACTTTTAGGAAGCCATATTGTACATCGTCCATCTCTGATTATTAATCTATAAGAATCGTTTGTAAAAGAAAATAATAATAATCACTTCCAGCATTTTTAATCACATAGATTACTCGTAATTAATTCATATCTTATTTCTTAAAATTTGGATAATATTTTTAAGGAAGAATATTATAATCAGAAATACGCGCAGACATAAAAATAGACAGACAGACGCGATTATCGTATATCTCTTTGACGACCAAACCACTGTCAAATCGCAGGAATCTGCGTTGGCTGTTCATTGTCCGAGAGGTTGCGGTATTTACAAGCTCGAATAATTGAATCAGACAGCAGCCTTGTCCGATGGTTTACCGACTCCGCAGAGAAAGATAGGCACAGACAGACAGACGGACGGACATACAGAGAAGAGGAAGAGAGAGGGGGGGGGGAACGATGTACATAGTATCTGCATCAAGGGAAAGGTAATTAGTGTGGTTAGTCCCCTAAGCACCCCACTCTGACAGTAAACACTGTGTTTGTCATGCTACTATATATTATACAAATCTGGTATACAGGGAAATTGTACTAATACAATTAATAATTTATAATTACGAATGGAACAGAGAGAGAATATTTTCTAAAAAAAATTTGTATAAATTGCATGTAAATGACAAATTTTGAATTTTCAATATGATTATTGTAATATTAGAGGAATTATATTCGTTTAATTAATAAAAAAAAAAGAGTCTATAAATATACCAGAGGCTCATGACGCCATTAAAACGGTATAAATGGTTTCGTGTTTTAATGAACGAAAGGGGTTGAAATAGGATGCAGGGTGGTCTCGTTAACTCTACTTTAGTGTGAAAATCTCAAAGGATTAAAGTTCTGTAAAAAGAGAATAAGGGAAGGGAACTGGAGACAGGTAGACACACTTATTTAAATACACGTATACACATAAACGTACCGATGAATAAAACAATAACTGTGTATATGTATGATGTCGCACCTTAATCTTCAATGTGATTTCACAAAAGAAATCCAAAGCGTTTCTTCGATTCTACCTCGGACTCGTTATCTTGTGCTTTTTTCGATATTTTAAATAAACAGAAAAAAAAAAAAAAA